ACACTGTCACAACCACTAACGTCGAAACCCGGCTAATTAGCGCAATCGTAACATTAACTGTAACAAGCTACATTCCACGATAATCCCACTAGCCTAGTTTCAAAGTAAATAGGGATTGACAGGGTAGTATCAAGGGATTCTGTTAATATCGGTATATCCTGTTATCCCGTTGATTATGCTGCTTTCTCATTGGCCATAATTGTATGATATGACGATTTTTCGTTACTAAGTAATAAAGGCACATCAAAGTGAAAATATTATTTGAATTTGAAAATTGTTTTTTTTTTCTGTCAAGATACGCCTTTTCCTGCGACGTCAGAAAAAGCTTTAGCCAGTGGTTGAGTTATTAATTATATTCTAATAGGTTGGCGATAATTCGTGTTTACACACTGACCGTGCTTCAATTCCCAGGAGACTTGCTCACTCGTTGAATTGGGCCATGCGACCTCCGTGGGACATGCCCAAGTGATTTATAGCTCTATTGAAATATCCTATAGGATCCCTTAGGATCGTTCTCGTATCTTGCATCCCATCCCGTAAACTCTTGATACGCGACCCACAACCTAAAGAAATCTATAGGAAGGTTTACGACCAAAATTCAAGATAACCCATAACTAATTCTGCTTCTCCTAGTACCGAGCTGCCATTACGAGTTTGATATCTAGATATGAAATGAAACTTCAGTGAAAATATATTCAACCGATTGGCGCTTTCCTTGGTAAACTGTCACTCACCTTCGATGCGTTGCGTTCAGAAATGGTCGATTATCCAGGTTTCTTTTTTCGGCTTCATCAATCAGTATTTACGATCTAATTGTGGATGTAGAACGTGACGTTTTACGGGTCACTAAGAACCCTTACGCCACCCCAAAAAGTCGACCGGAGGGAGAAGGAAAATTATACGAATACGATGTTGAGCTTAGATTTAAGATAGAGGATTAGTTTTCGCACATGGGCTATACAGCTCTCTCATCCCGGATAATTCTGAGCACACGTACTTAACAGCTTGAGCTCCCATCAATTAGCAGCAGCCATCCTCTTTCAAGAAAATATACGTCATTACGAATCGAGGCTAATCTAGTCTATACGAGGAATATATTAATCGGACAGCATTATGCCAGTAGTACGAGCTACTCAAAGACAAGCACTTATCCTACCTTGGCTTTATCCATGCAAATTCTAAATTAAATCAGTGCAACGTTTTCTCCATCAAGCAAGCGAATAAAGCGGTATTGCGTTACCCGATCGACGCCGTTCCCGACACTCAGTTGCCCCTAATTTGCTATGCACCCTCAATTAGATTAAGTAATTGCAATTCCGCCCTCCTTATTTTTACGGCTAGGGCTCTTTTACGTCTTCTCATGAAATTTAGCTTAAGAGCTGCGAGCATTTGAACGCCCCCAGTGACCCTGCGTGTTTTTCAAGCTTACTTCAACGCACTAACTTGGAATTCAGAAATTAAAATTCATCTCGCGTCCTCGAAAGGTCTCCTCACGTAATTTATCGATTGGACGGTCAACGTTGGCAAAATTCTTCGGATATAGTTTGAAGGGCCTGAAATGTTGACGGTAAAGGAATCTTATAATTTAATGTTAAGACTCAAAATGGGAAAAGGCTAATGTTTCTTAACTGCGCCGCATAAAAAGTAAGAATTATTGAATGCGCGTAAAGTCGTCTTGCTATTCAGGTTAAAATCCTATATGTATATCGACAAATACCCACAGCACAAGTTGTAATGTAATTTTCTTAACTTGACCCGACACCGATAGCAAGACATACGGGAACGACTATCTTCGAGAACCAACCTACGTTACCTTCGGCCGTCCACCCGTCGTTCGTGCATCCGCAAGCCAGGCGGGCGCCAGCCAATTCTTTTTTCACCGGGAACTGACGAGCCGGTATAAACTGGGAGTTGGGATGGAACAGGCCCAACTCCACCAACAACGAGAGCTCTGACGGAACCTATCAGAAGAGGCGATAGCTTAACGGATCCTGTCGATTTTTGGGGTCGCGTAAAATCAGCAAACACAACTGGATACACGAACGGGAGCGGACGGTTACGGAAATGCACGGCCGCTCAGGCTGCTAGGTTTGAGGTAGAGAGGGTCGGAGTAAGAGTCCGGCAAATAGTGCGAGAGACAGAGAGCGACGAACCGAGAACGTATCAGAACGAATCTTAATTGTTTATCGAGATCCCTTCACCAATTAATAAATTGGGAATCCTCACCGGAGCTGGTGCAGCTAATCCATGGAGGCCGAGAACTGTATCCAAAGGACACTGGTGAGCACTGCACTAAGGCACAGCACTACACCACCGTAACACTCACAGGAAAGAACGAAAATTCGAGAACGTAACAGAACGAATCTGAATTATCAAATCGAAATCCCTTGACCAATTAATAAATTGGGAGACTCACCGGAGCTGGTACAGCTAATCCGTGGAGGCCGAGAACTGTATCCAAAGGACACTGGTGAGCACTGCACTAAGGCACAGCACTACACCACCGTAACACTCACCCGAAAATTCACGTCACAAAGTACATAGCCGTACGCAACCTGCGTGCGACTGCATAAACGGAACAGGCCAAAGCACCGAAGAACTGAAAACAAGCGATAAGCGACTTAACGTATAAACCATCGCCTCCTACGTTGTTAATCCGATGATTATGGGAAAGTGCGTCTTAGAAAGGTACCACAAAAGATTATTTTTAGCAACTGGCTCTCGACGTTCTTTAACAAATCGACTTATGTTAATGCAGAGCATTTCCATGTCACATTACAAACTTGTGCATTCCCGACGTGGGGAAATCATTAAAATGTCAATACATATTTGGACTCGGCATCAGCATTATTCTGGTAACCGAATTGAAATGTTGAAAAGAAAGTGTTACTTGAAAATCACTTAAAAACGAATGAGCATATCAAATGAAATCCAATTACATGATGCACTAGTAAGTGTCCGTGGGTATTGTCAATAATTTCGTGAAACGTGGTACTGAATTTGGTTTTTGAAGATCTAAGAATACCAGGAAACCGAGTATTGCCTATCTGAAATGTATCTGTGGGATCAAGCGCCAGCGAATGCTTTTATGCTTCGGATAGCGAAAGCCATCCATAAATCCCGAGCGCCTTCTCCTTGTAACAAAAATGTTATTTTCGCCGGAAAAATGTCGCGGCCGCATTTTACGTTTATGCACCAGCTGTAGCCAGCAAAGAAACAGTGCAAATGAAAAACGGTGTTATGCATATTTTGCTTATATCGGAACCGAAAATTACGTGGACGTACATTTCCTATATAGTTGCACCTACTTCGTTCATTGTACTTTGGAAAGGTCATGCGTAACCATCAACAACTGAATGTTACGATAACAGACATAATGAAAGAGAATCACTGGAGGGTTTGAGCCTTTGTAACGTTATTAAATGAAAAATTCTATAGATGAAAGATGGAGATCATGCGGAATTTGTTATGCATATCCTGAAAGGGCTGGACCGGTTATTCCGAGATTTATTAAAGCATTTCTCAACGTCAGGGTAATAATATTCGTACAGTCTCGTAATTGCTGCATTGTCTGAAGCAAGAGCCGACAATCCGTGGAAGCGCGACGTCGTTTTCGAATTTTCTATGAGTTACGCATATTCGATGGCTCATTTTAATATGACGAAAAATACATGAGCTCCTTGTGTTCTCTCAGTTTGTGGATAACAGAATGGGTTTTGCTATCGAAAATCGCTAATGGAGAACAGCTGAGAGTACAGAAGAAAAGAACACGACGTTGGACATGATCGTCTTCAACCGTACCGGTGTACGAGAACTAATGCGAATCCATCTTAAAGGAAATAATCCTAAAAAATGGTGTAGTCTCGTCTCCACCTGGTCGAAAATTGGTAACGGTGCCCTTGAATACATACACTTGGAACGTATACCGTGTAGATAGGGGACGAAATGTTTCTGCAGGCGAATGCCAGAATCCGAAACGAGAGTGAGTAATAAAAAAAGAGAATCAGACCGAATGGTTCTTCACCACTTTGAAATTACTTACGTTTTTTTTTTTTTTTTTACTTTTCCCATGCCTCATATTTATATCTACTACTTGCATTCTCGTGTATGGACATTAAAATTATATGGATGGTGCACTAGCGAAAGTGGATTTACGATAGCGATACGCTTTTAAATGTCCGCGTTTCTCTTTACGGTGACTCCAGCAGTTTGCAGTGCCCACTTCGAGCAATGTTTCGTCACTCGAGTTTCCTGCGGTACAACAGAAAAGAACTAGACTGGCTGTTCGAACCTTTAGGGATCGGTTGGTTGCGAACAAGGAACTTTTGTGAGATTTTCATATTTATAATCATTTTAGCTTTCTATATCGTGAGGACGCCGCCACGTGGATACGTTCCTTACAGGCAGCAGCCAGCAATCAGCATTCAACTCAAAATTTCTGTTTGAGATGAAAGACTGCAGCGTCGGCATAGTCGCTTAGAAACTCGGGTTTTCTCGAGTATCGTCATTCCCCGCATAAATATGTATGCACTCGGTGATACTCACTCTCGCCGTTCGCGATACAGAGTAGGTATTTCCGAGTTTCCCGAACGTCAGCTCAACGAAGTACCGTTCATTACTCTAGGATTAATCAGCACTTTACTATGAATTAATGGATGAGGGCGCTGAATTTACTTATCGTTGTCCGTTATGAGATACATTGAGAAGGACGATCACAGGATTTGTGAAAAGAGTTCTGCAGTTCTCTGCACTTTTCATCGATAGTTCCGATCATTATTCGCTTGAAAATAAACTTTCAAGAAAAACGTCAGCCCCCATGTTTTAAAAAAATCATCTATACGCGCATTCAAGAATCTTCAAAGTCCCGGATCTCTTTAAATTTTGATTTCTCCTTTGGCTTTTGGCTCCTTTTACTTCACTCTTTCGCCGTATACCCGAATCGTTTCTCGTTTCTCGACTGTTTATTTGTTTGTACAGATTGTATAATGTAAAATGCTTACCCGTTTGGTACCTTCTAGGATATTTCCTAGTTCCTCGCGTTTCTCGTCATAGATACTCTATCATTGATATTTTCCTCTTCAAGGTTTCTTCAGAGATTTATTTGATTAAATTAATTTATCATAAAGTAGTCTTCAGGATATTTTCTTATCTGGGGAATTTTTCTGTCAATTTACAATGTCTTGTTTCCCAATTAGAACTTCATGATAACTCACCTAATTACTTTTCAATCGTAGAGATTTCCGTTCCTTCTGGCGGGCATGCCGTTAAGAAAGAACTGTGTCTGAAAATCCTTGCACGGAGGCTGAGGGCCTGAATCCTGAGGGTCCATTGATACCTTGTTACTTTAATGGCACTAGTCCTTTTGACAGAAACTGAAAACCCATGCATCTGCCTTTACACATTTTTTATTGAAAAAGTTCGATCGATCAGCTGGAGTGTTCCTAGTTTCATCCCTCCGGGTCAATATGATGCTTGGAAGTATTCCCTCCTGGGATTGCAGGCACTTGGGACACAGGACAGGGTACACAGGACACTGCGAACAGGAGTATAAAAAGTCAAGGGAAGGCTGTAATATCCCACAAATAATCGGTATCTTTTAATTGGCTTACGAATTCTGGTACAATTGGGTTCAACGGAATCGATAGACCGAAATGTCCTTATATACATGAATAATGTGTCACAATTTAACATCCTCGAATAACATCGCTAAGTATATCATTATTCTTGACTAACAATTGATCTCATACAATTCGATACTTATGTCCTACCAGTCGGGGGGGGGG